GAGGAAGAGGAGGAGGAGGAGGAGGAGGAGGAGGGGAACGAGGGAGGGCTGCCCGATCACAGGCCACCGCTTCGGCGGGGCAGGAGGCCTCAGGACTCAGGACTCAGATGTCCGCGAAGCCATGCCATAGGGGGAGTGCTGCCAGATTGGGACTCAGATGCCAGACCAGGATCAGACATCGGGGCTCAGATGTCAGGACTCGGATGTCCCATCGCGACATCAGGGCTCAGGTGCAGAGCGGGTTCGGCGCGGCAGGAGGGGGACAGATGTCATGGCCCGTGCCTTGAGATCCACACACGGCCACAGTCGAAATCTGAAATAACAAGGAGGGCGGTAAGGACGCAAGGGCCTTGGACGCCGAAATTTGCACTGTTTGGACGGCGGACTGCCAGCACCCTGAAGGGTTGGCCAATGGAAACCGCGACGGACGGGCCGCATAGGCAAGGACGCAAGGGTACCCTAAGGACATCCGTGCGACCTCGCTGTGAGTTTTGACTGTAGTCCTCACCCCACTTGTTTGGCAGTCCTCACCGCCCCTTTTCGACGCATCCGATAGAGGACAACCAGGCTGTTGAGGGTCACCTCCTCTGCATTCCTCTCTGTACATACCAGCCGTGGCGCGTAGCTTGGGGGGGCTCGCGGGCACATCAGCCTGGAGCGCCCAGAGGCAACCACAAACAGAAAGCCCAGGGGCTTCTTCCCGACCTCGTAAACGTGTGAGTGGAGAAGACGGCGTTTCGCAAGAAACCCTGCGATTGGCCCCAGGAGGCTTCCAGAAATCCCCCAGAAGTCCCAGGCCCCGAAGATGACCCACGAGGGGTTCCAAAGGGCCTCCAAGAGACCTCTGGTCCGCGACCGTGGCCCAGCGGCGGGAGGGGCCCGATGCGAACAGATACGCATTCGTCTCCATACCCCCTTGCCTCTAATTGTCATCCCTTACGCCTCATCCACTCCGTCCCCCTCGTCCTTCTCCTCCTCCTCAGCGTCGTGCCTCGTCTCAAAAGTGTTCCGCATGCCACTCCTTCACCTCCTCTTCTTTTCGCCCGCTTCTCTTCCACATCCAAATCGTCCTTGTCGTCTTCGTCCATCTCCCTACTGCTTGCACTTTGCTCCCTCCACAGTCATTCTTCCGCAGTCTGCCCTTCCTCTGCTCTATCCTCCTGCACTGGCACGTGCACTCCACCGCTCGTGTCTCCTGCTCCTGAACCCCCCAACACCCCCCCCCTCCAACTCCTCGTGCTCTTCCTCCCGTTCTCCCCATCCGCTCCTTCTTCATCTCCTCCTCCTGCTTCTCCTCGCCGTCCTCCTGCTCGCCCCCGTCCCTCCTCGTCTCGGCCGTCGCCGTCGCCGCCGCCGCCGCCGCCGCCGTCGAGCGCGGTCGGTGCCTCGCTCAGCGCCACGCCCATGGCCGCTCGGCTACCCAGGCCCTCCGGCAGCCGCCAGGATGGCGCCGAGCGCGGCGGCAGCCGGGGGTACTCTACCTCCGAGGGGGGCGCCAACGCTCCCTCCACACTGTGAATGTCTTCTGGCTCGGGGTTTCGACATTGGGCGGAAAGGATTTGGATTGCAAGCGCGATGAACCTGTGACGGCTGTCGCGAGAGAGTGGCGCTGCAGCTAGCAGAAGCTTTAAAGATCAGTCAGGCAGGCCGGCTGAACTAAAAGACATAAATCTGCACAGCACCAAGTGGGGCACGGACACCACGGGCACCAAGGTGAACCAAGTGGGGCGGAGAGGAGGGGGGGAGGCGGGGCGGGTCTGGCTCGGGACCTCTGCTCAACGTCACTGTCTGCAGCAGCGCGTCTCATAGAGGGGGAGACCCCATATCTCTGCCTGAGCAGGCGCCAAAACCAGCTATAAGGTCTACTCCACCGGGGGGGAGGGGGGAGGGGTCCGAGGGCCCGCGCCGATCGGCAAACCAGTGGATCAGAAAACGGCCACGTACACGAAGTCACTCGTTTACTCCCCCCCTGGGGATGCGCATTGACGACGAGCCTGCCTCGAGGATGTCAACCTCAGCGGCGAGCCAGCGAGAGGGGCCAGAGGCGGAGGGAAGGCGAGGAGGCGGGGCACGGCGCACGGCGCACGACCGAGAACAAAGGGAGAGAGAGAGAGAGAGTGAGCAGGAGAGGCAGACAGAGAGATGTATCACAGATAAAGGAAGGAAGGAAGGAAAGAAGGAAGGGAGAGAGGAAGGAAGAGAGAGAGAGAGAGAAAGCACAAACAAAAACAGCACTTAACAAATAGAGAGACAGGCCAAAAAGAGGAACGACGGACAGCGGAGGCAGCGCAGGTGGCAATACTTGCGCCTCTTCCCCAGTGCAAGCTGCCACTTTGGAGAAGGACTCGGACTCTACTCGTGGGGGGGGAGGGGAGGAGAGCGGGCCCTCGCGCTCCGGGCGCCGCGCGGCCCGTCAACTGAGACACACGAGAGAAGGGCACTGGATCGCAAGGTTTCGCGGCCCCAGGGCACCGGAGATGGCCGCCATGGGCCGAAGACCGCGAACGTGAACACCTTCTGGGTCGGGGTGTCGTCGTCGTCGTCGTCGTCGTCGTCGTCGTCGTGGTCGTCGTCGTCGTCGTCGTCGTGGTCGTCGTCGTCGTCGTCGTCGTCGTCGTCATCATCGTCGTCGTCGGGAGCGGAGGGCGGGAGGGAGCGGGGGGGTCTGGCTCCAGAACGCTGCCGCATTGCGACTGTTTGCAACAGTGCGTCCTATGGGTGGGACTCCACCTGCTGGAAACGAGCGCCAGGAACAGCCACGATGTACTCCATGGGGGGACGAGGGCCCGCGCCGATCGGCAAAACAATGAATGAGAAAACGATAACAAAGACCTCCGCCTTCATTTTGTTCCAACACGTTGAAGTCGGGATAGTTTGAGGAATCCAGGAAATACCGATACAGCTACTCCCTGGACCTATCCCGGGGTGCGCTCTGGCCAGAATCTCGAAGCGAATCCGATCGAAGGCCTCCTAGGAGACGCAAAAAAGAGAAACGAGGGACGGTGGCGGTAGCGATACGGGTACCATTTCCTCCTCTGATAGTCGGCTTCCCCTCCGGACGAGCTCGACTACACGCACGAGTGACCCTTGGTAAGAGTGACCTTTGGTGCGCGGCTTTTTGGGGGCCGCGGGGGGGGTCAAACTCGTGCGCGCAAGCCGCAACTGGCTCCTCGCGTTCAGCGATCGGGGGACCCAAGTGGCCCAGTGGGCCCGCTCCAAAGGTCACTCCGATTAAAGTTCACTCTTAGGTCTAGTCGATATTTTTCCTCCTCTGGTAGTCGGCTCCCCCTGTTGGCGGCGCTCATAAGGGGTATGGGGGAGGGGGGAAGGCTTCTTAGAAGGAGGCCACTTCTCAGAATGCGCCCGCATTGCATCTATATAGAGAAAGCCCGCACCTTCTCAGAAGCATGGGGTGCTTCTCAGAAGCCTTCCCCCCTCCCACTACCCGCCTAGGCGCATGGCCGCCTCTCGCTGCGAAGAGCTTATCTGGGACCCTGGCGTCGCAGCGTTGGGCGCCCGAGTTATCCGAGGTAACTCGGGTCCGGGGTAACTCGGGTTTGGATTCCCAAAAGAGGAACCCGAGTTAGCCCTGACCCGAGTTACCCCTGATGATGTGGGGCTCTGGACGCCCGAGTTATCCGGGATAACTCGGGTCCGGGGTAACTCGGGTTTGGATTCCCGAAAAAGGAACCCGAGTTAGCCCTGACCCGAGTTACCCCTCATGATTCGGGGCTCTGACAGCGTGCTCCCAGCGGGGGATGTGCCCTGTTTCGAGTCCCGGGGCCCTCACAGGTCGAGTCGCCTCGAACCATGCGGCAGGAAGATGGGCTCCCAGGGGCTCCGGTCGGGTTGCCACACGATGCTGCCACTTCTCGCGGCGCCAGCTCTCAGGGCCCTCGCGACGCGAGAAAATTTAAGAAGCCGAACTCTATACACCGACGCTTTTTCCGGCCCCGCCCTGCAGCTCGCACAGGACCGCGGATCCTGGTGTCTATGGGATCCTGGTGTATACATGTTTCGTAGTTTCCCCCGGGAACGCGGGGAAAACGTGTACACCACACCACCCCACCCCGATCTCGTCCCCGACCCTTATAAAAATCCTGGGATTGAAAAACAGCCCGCCGCTGATAGTGTATATGCTCCGGCAGGGCTGAACCTAAACGGTGTTTCTCGGTTTCGTTTTGTCTTCGTTTTCCCTCGTTTTGTCCTTGTGAACGCAAAACGAAGCCGAAACGAAGACGGCCCACGAAATCGCCAAAACACCGCTCAAGTCCACGCCTGTGCTTACGTTGTCCCCATCCTACTCAAGGACCACATCCCAGAAATAATTTCGAGCACCCGGAAAAGTGTCGAAAGAGTGTCGAAAGAATGTCGAAAGATCGTTGGAACGATGCCGGGCGAGCGTCTCCCGGGGCCCGACGCGCGAACACCCTCGAGCTTTGTTGTTTTTGTTTTGGGTGCTCGAGATGCTTCCTGGCGATCCAGGCCAAAGTAGGTTGGAACATCACAACCCTGTGCTCCAGCCTCCGAACATCCGTTTTGGTTTCGTGGTCCCTCGCTTTGTCTTCACTCCGCCGTCGACGCAAAACGAAATCGAAACGAAGACGGCCCACGAAAATCCGAACGGAATCGAAACGAAACACCGCACGGTGTCGAATCCGAAGCGAAACGAAATCCAAAACGGGATCGAAACGAAACACCCCACGGTGTCGAATCCGAAGCGAAACGAAATCGAAACGGCACCGAATCGAAACACCGCACGGTGTCGAAGCCGAAGTGAAACGAAATCGACACGGCATCGAATCGAAACACCGCTCAGGCCCACCCCTGTGCTCCAGCTTCCGAACACCACGACGGAAGGCCGGGAGCACATATCTGTCGGCCTCCGCGCGTGGCCGGCCCCCCCGCCCCGGACCTGCACCCGAAAACGCCCCCTCGCGAACCGACAACGGCCAGTTCGCTCATCGCCGTGTCAGGTTGGGTTCCAACGTGGGTCTGTTAATATAGAGAGGGTCATGAAACAAACGTGGCAACACATATTCTGCGTATCTGTGCATATGCGGTCTGGCAGATCGGGGCGGCATCATCGCGACGCCAACGGGCGTCGCGGACTCGAGCACCTCCTACCCTGACACTGTCAGGGTAGGAGGTCTGTCCACCCCCAGCTTCCGAAACTCACGACGGACGGCGGGGAGCACATCTCTCGGCCTCCGCGCGCGGCTCGCCCCCCCGACGGGCCTTCTCCAGCACGGCGCTCTGCACGGCGGCCCCGGGCGCGCCGCCCGGCGCGCCCGCGAGCGGCGGCGAGGGCGGCCCGCCTTCGCGGCGGCGCGCGGACCCCACGCCCCGAGAGCGGAGGGCGTCGTCGTCGTGGTCGTCGTCGTCGTCGTCGTCGTGGTCGTCGTGGTCGTCGTCGTCGTCGTCGTGGCCGTCGACGTCGTGGCCGTCGTCCTCGTCGTGGTCGTGGTCGTGGTCGTCGTCTTGCACTGTTGCGGTCGTCGTTTTGGCGCCCGCCGTCGTCGCGTGCCGGCAGCCAAGGGGGCAAAGGGCAAAGGGGGGAGGCAGCTGCCGCTGAGCTGTCGAGGGCCGTTTCCGCCCCGCTGGGTGATGGCCGCCCGGGTGCGTGCGCCAAGCTCCGGCGGCATGCGTGCTTCTGACTGAAACCGCGGCGCCTCTTCTCGATGGTGGGAAGCGGAACATGGCCGAACGGCAAATTTTTGGAGGTCCGCTCGGATTTCTTGCATCGGCGCTGGACCCCCCGCCCGGGCGCGCGGAGCGCGCCGGCCGGAGGCATCGCTGTGAGGGCGCCGCCAGAAGGGCACAGCGCCGATCCAACAAAAACCTCGCGGGACTCCGAAATTCTATGGCTCTGCGTTGTGCCATTCATTCTTTTTCGCTCGGCCTCTGGGAGCCGCTGTCGGGTCCCAGGACCATGAAAGTGGACCCAGGAAGGCAGGATTCGAAAGCTCCTGGGCCGCATATGCAATAAAAACGCGTTGAAAGTTGTCTGGGGGCGCGCCTACACCCCGAAAGGCCTCCGGGTCATCGAGACTTTTAGGAAGGGGGCGCTATACCCCTGAGGACTGGGCCCCGGCTGGCGAAGGAGGGGGGAGGCGGTGACCGTACCCCTCAGGACGTGGCTGTCGGAGTCTAGCCGTACCCGTCGGTCGGGAGAATTGGGCAGAAACAAGAAGTATGAAGGCGTTGGAAGCAGATTGGGTCTCCACCCGCCGCCTGAAGAGGAGGGAAGAGGGACAAGCACTCGATCATTGACGTAGGAAGGCGGCTGAAGTCGAATCGGGATCTAAGCATCCAGGAATACCTACTTTCAACGACCGGTGTGTGATCTCTTGGCGTCGCTGGCGGAACACAGGAAACTGCGGCTACAGCCGTGCCCCTCGGGGCGCGGCTGGTGAAGGCCAGCTGTACCCATCGCCGAGAGAGAGGGGGGAGGGGCACGTCGAACTCGAGGCTTTGGGAGCGATATCCACCCTCTTGGGGGGGGGCCCAGCTCGTCGCCACGGATGGATTCCAAGCGAAGTTCTTGCCAGAACGCACCGCGGGAGGAGGTCAGGCGCGACGATGAGGAGGAGGAAGAGGAGGAGGAGGAGGAGGAGGAGGAGGAGGAGGAGGAGGAGGAGGAGGAGGAGGGTGAGTGGAGGATCGGAGGGATAAGAAAGAGTACGAGGGGGTGTTGACGGGGGCGGGAGGGGGAGAGTGGTTCATGGTGTCCGCGGGGGGCTGTACGGAGAGGTGGGTGAGGGGAGGGCGACGAAGAGGAGGAGACGGGAGGGAGGAAGAGAATAAATAGTGAGTTGGTTAGCTAGCTGGACTACACGATACCACGCTCCGCTGGTAGCTTTACTTTCAGCTGATGAGGGCTACAGGGATGGTTGGAAGGGAATGGGAGGCGGATGACGACAATCTTGACCTGCATCACGGATGCATCGCTGAATCGGGTTCCAGGGAGCAGACTGTTCCTCAACGGAATGGATGGCAAACCTGCAAGCAACGGATGGCTTCGTCATACTGAATGGGCGCGCAGCTGGAAATGCTGAACGAAGCCTTTGACTCACACATGTCTTGGTGCTCCATCTCAGCTCCACGCAGTGTTCGAAAATGGCTCAACATCGCAACGAATCGGGACATCAGCTCGAACCGACATAGGCATCCAACTTGGCTGCATCGGCGCGGAGCTGAGATCGGACCGGACTGGCTGCGCCAGTCAAAACGTGTATTAAGGACGGGTGGTAAGGACGCAAGACCCTTGGAGGCCGAAGTTGGGATCTTTGTTGGGCGGCGGGCGGCCAGTGAAAACGGCAAAGGACGGGCCGCAGAGGCAAGGAAACAAGGGTACACTAGATGAAAACGCGCGTCCGTACCGTGCACTTTGACTGTATCGAATCGGATCGGATCGATCGGATTGAGATCGCCCCACGCTGGCCGGAATCGATGCCGACATCCAAATCGACCGGGCCGCCCAGACTCGATGGCGATCGGCGCGAGGCAAGCGGGGAGGATGGGCACGCCAAGGGGCAACATGGGGCCAAACACGTGTGGGCATAGCACCCCCCTCCGTGTCGCATCTGCCGACGATGCGCGCGCTGTCGAGCGCAGCACCCATCTTTGAGCTCGGAGGAGGCGGGGATGTGGGAGGATGGAGGATGTAGAAGCGATGCTGGATGCTAGATTGGCCTGCCTCCGAAGAAGCAGGTCCGAGAAAAGAGAGGGTGAAACAGACAGCGAAACAGGCTTGGGAGAAGGGTGAACATGCGGGCGAACGCGCCCGAGCGTCAGACGCACCAGCGAGGATGGAGGAGGGAGCGGGGATGAAGGAGGATGGAGGAGGACGCAGGGATGGTGGGGGCTGGGGGGATGGGAGGCTGGAGGAGAGGGGGGGCGCAGGAGGGGCAAGGGGGGGGGGCACTGCTTGGAAGAACGAGACGGCACCGCTACCGCTGCTCCCATGGACCTCTACCAGCGTGTGCTCTGACCTGCGCAGCCGGAAGAGCATCCTTCAAGAACGCGAGACCCTTCGCTGGCCAAAACACAAAGAGAACGTCCCAGCGTTCCCTGCCTCAGGATGCACAAGAGCGTCCAACGACCCCGAAGAAGAGTAGGGTAGCCTCCCCGAACCGACCTCGCTCTTATACCTCGGTTTAGGTCGGGCATATCCTCGTAACATAGTCCAACGAATGCTCAGAACTAGTCAAGAAGAGTCAGAACATCGCCCCCTGACTATTTCTTGACTCCTGTTGAATAGTCCTCCTGTAGAGGAGCACGCCCGACTCACACCTCGGCCCGACCGCAGCTTCTCGAGGCGGGCCCCGCCGCGGCGGCGAGGCACGTGCAGCCGCAACCCCGGCAGGCAGCCGTCGTGCTGCCACAGGCGGGCGCCCGAGGAAGGGGCGAAGGGGGCCTCCGCATGCAGGGGGCGCGCAGAAGAACATGGCTCCGCGGCGATCCATGGACTTTGGCGCGCGGTCGCCCCATCCGTGGACCCGGGGCGGTGCCCTCCCCCAAAAAGTGCGGCCGGTGCCGCCTCGAAGTCGGCGGCGGGAAGGGCCGCATGGAGGCAGGACCCGTGGCCACTCCACGCCCCCCCTTTGAGCCATGCCTGCGATCGCCCGCGCCATGGCCACGGCGGGCCTCTGGCACGACCGGGCGGCCCCGACCCAGACCTGTCCGGAGCGGCCCGGCCACGGGGGCCCCTCCTGAGCCCAGAACGGTCCATATGCCAGCGCCTGCCCCGACATCCTGGCGACCCGATGTCTTCGAGCCGGGCGTTTTCGCTCCCCTGCGGGCCCCGGGGCCCTCACAGATCGATCCAGCCCAGACAATAAGGGCGCCGAAAGATGGGACCTGGCGGGTCCGGACGCGATGCCTTGCGATGTGGCAATTGTTTTCCCACGTCGGATCTCAGGGTTGACTGAATCTGTGTTAGGCGGGGATTTATCCATATCCACCGCCTAGGAACCGACGTCCTGGTGCCCCAGCGGACGGTGGATGTGAATATGTTATGGCCCCCGGGGGCCCGAATATGTCCACATCCACCGCCTGTGGAGGTCCGCGAAGATCGATCCCCCAGGCGGTGGTTATGGATACATCCCCGGTTTGGAACCTGTTACTCCTCGGAAGCGCGATGGTGCCGCCCTCCCCGGCCGCCGTGGGAGTCGTCCGGCACGCCCTCGCGCTTGATGATGCTCATCAGCCTCGCACGCGGAGGGAACCCGTTCAGTCGGCCCGTAACTGAAGGATGCGCGATAAGGATGCAAGGGCCTTGGACGCCCATTTCTTAGCTTTTCAAGAGGGGCGCGACCAACGAAAGTGGCCAAGGATGGACCGAGGATATCCTTGGGAAGGCTGCCAATCCTTACTATGCGGGTTGACTGTGCAGGCGGACCTGATTGGACAGGACACGCGACAGGACACAAGACCCTTCCGAGGGCCACAGCTCCGTAGGAATGCATGAGGCATGGGTCGCGAGGCACAGGACACAAGGGTACCCTTGATTTGGCAGGGTCGACCTACCAATCAAGGCCGACTGTACACCACCACCGTGCCTGGCCATGGCCTTCCCGAAGCCCCTGGCTTGGCGTGCAACAGGTGCACGTCGTGGCGAGACGGCCTCGACGGCTTCTCAAGGGGGACAGAAAGTGGCAGAAACATAAAAACTCGGAGGTCCGCGCGGACTTCTCGGATCGGCGCTGGGGCCCCCCCGGCGGCGCCTCCGGCGCCGCCCCTGGCGCGCTGCGCGCGCCAGGGAGGGGGGTCCAGCGCCGATCCGAGAAGTCCGCGCGGACCTCCGAGTTTTCATGTTTATGCCACTTTTTGTTCCCCTGGAGCGATTGCGGCCCTCCGACGGCGCAGAGCGTGGAGTGTCGGCAGGCTCCGGGGCACTGGCGGTGTTCCAGCCCTGAACTCCCCCGCGCAGTGGGGTCGCCGCCGCGTCGGCACGAGCCCCATAATTGCCGTGCATAGGCCCTCTCCTGGCCGAGGCCATAAAGGGTATATGCACCATCGTGGGGCCCAGGATGCTACCACGACGGAAACGGACGAACGAACAACACACACACACACACGCACGCACGCACGCACGCACGCACGCACGCACGCACGCACGCACGCACGCACGCACGCACGCACGCACACACACACACACACACACACACACACACACACACACACACACACACACACACACACACACACACGCACACGCACACGCAAACGCACACGCACACGCACACACACACAAACACACACACACACACCCATACCCATATGGGGCACGTTGGGAGGAGGACTGGCCATGGGTATGGGTGCGGGTTGTCGGATCCTGGGCGGGCGCTTCCTCTCGAGCGGGGAGCCCCATCCGACAACATGCACCCATAGCCCCCTCCGTCCCACCAATGGGTATGGGTGCGTGTTGTTCGTTCGTCAGAAACGGGCCTGAGGGGAACGGATACGGGACCCTGGGGCCTCGCTCCAGAACAGCAAGCTTGCATGCCGAGTCGTTCCCTAACGGCAAAGGGGCCCTGGAAGGGCTGCGACAACCCGAAGGCGGCGAAGCATCTCGGGACCCGTTTCCCTCAGGGCCCTTTCTTGTGCATCCGGCGATGTGACTCTTTCAATGCGCAACCCCAGCGGTCCCGACCACTCCTCTCCCTCCAGGAGCAATGTTGTCGTCTCAGATGCATGGTTCATGCCTCTGAGGCCCGATAATGAGCCCAGAAGCCGACATCAAGGAAAACACGACAGGACTGAAAAGATCGCATCGTCTGAGACCTGGGTTTGCTTTATTGCGGAGCTTCCTCTTCTGACGTCGTTTTTTGTTCTGCGACGTGGCCCTTCAGGGATCTCGACCGCCTTCACAAGGCAAGCTTCGCATCCTGGTCTGCTGGCGGCCCCGGGTCCTGGACACGGCCTCCCGAGAGAACGGAGACTTCCCCCAAAACGAGCCGTCGCGACGCTTCGGTGCCGCCCAGGACCAGAGGAGGCACGGCCTTTGCCGGGCGTGGTGACGGTGCACGGGGTGCGAGGCGGGGACACAGCCAGTGCCACCGCCCGCAGACCGATCGCCGGGGACCTGGGCAGGCAGTGGCCATCGCTCGGACGTCCATTCCCCGTGCTTGTTTCGGTTTCGTCCGTGGTTTTTTCTCGCGAAATGATCAAGGATGCTCCTCGATGGTCCTCGCCGAAGGAAAAATGCACACGTCCGAGCGATGCCAAGGGCAGTGGACATGGACACGCCATTCCCTGTACTTGTTTCGGTTTCGTCCGTGGTTTTTTCGCGAAATGATCAAGGATGCTCCTCGATGGTCCTCGCCGAAGGAAAAGTGCACGCGTCCGAGCGATGCCAAGGGCAGTGGACATGGACACGGATGCGTTCGGGCCCCGGGGGGGGGGGGGGGCAGGTGCTCGTGCATATCCGCCGCCCGCCGAGAGGTCCCCGAAGGTCGATCCCCCAGGCGGCGGTGAAGGATACGAGAAGCTCTGCCAGGAGGAGGAGGAGGAGGAGGAGGAGGAGGAGGAGGAGGAGGAGGAGGAGGAGACGGAGGAGGAAGAGGAGGGGGAGGGGGAGGAGGCAGGGCCGATGCGTGGATCAAAGGCCCCCTGAGCGGGGCCTTCCTGACAAACCAAGACGCCGGCGCGCCCCCGACGACCGACCTGCAGCCGAAGAGCCGGAGCCCTCTCCGCACGCTGGTCTCTCCTGGTGCCTTTTTTTGTTTTCTCGAGGGAGGTGGTCGGCAACGCCCTGGCCTGGGGCTCGAGGCTCGCTCTGGGGACCTTTCTGGAGCCGCTCGCTCGGCTCGTGCCGACCGTCCGTCGAACTGAGCCGGCCTAGGACCGAGCTCGAGCCGAGCTCGAGCCGAGAGCTGGAGTCGAACCGCTGCGCCAGGCGGGCCTCAGAGAGGTCCCAAAACGAACATCCCAGCAGGACGCCCCGGAGGATGGGATCCGACGTCACACAGAACTTGCAACATCGTTTAGAAAAAAGCTCGACCGGAGCGCTATACCCATCTTTCTGTATACGAGTCCTGGGGCCGGCGCACCCGTTGCGAGAAAATGCGCGGCCAAGATCTCAGGGCCCCCACTTCTTGGACGCCCCCGACGGCGCCCGCGGTCCCAGAACTGGCGCGTCAAGGATCCATCGTTGAGGGCCCTGGAGCCCGATCACTGGACCCGGAGGCCTAATTACAGTCGAAGCGTTGTCATAAGGAACTCTAAATCAGGAACGAGGTCCCTTTTTCCATAAGTTGAACTCCGATTCCCCACAGAAGACCTAACAAAAAATCAAAATAAGAAATGCAAAACACTTGAGGAACACCGAGCCCCTCCCCAACGAAGGTTTCTTCTTCAGCGGCCCGACTGTAAATGATACCGGAGAAAAGCCCCAATCATAATCTTTTTAAGGCTTTAGGGCTATGGGGCTATAAGGCTATAGGGCTAGAAGGCTATGGGGCTATAGGGTTACAGGGCTACAGGGCCATAGGGCTATAGGACTATCTGGCTATAGGGTCATGGGGCTGTAGGGCTATAGGGCTATAGGGCAATAGGGCTATCGGGCTATAATGCTATAAGGCTATAGGGCTATTGGGGCTATAGGGCTACAAGGCTATAGGGCTATATAGCGCTACTGGGCACCTGGGCACCCCGGCACCAGGGCACCCAGGCAACAGGGCACCCGGCACCCGGGCACCCCAGGGCACCCGGGCACCCGGGCGTGCGGCGAAAATCGGCGGCAAACCTAACCTAACCAAATGAATCCGCTAGGACCCCTACAGAGGCAAGCTCTGATTGGGGAATGCAAGGAGCACGCCGCGACTGAACAGTCACATCCTCAGTGGTCTGTTCCGGGGGCCCTGATCGGAACAGGGCCCCCACCCCCGCTGGACCTCAGCCACGCCGGCGATGTATACACCCTGCGATATGCTTAAGAAATCATGGGTGAAGAAATTCATAGTCTCAGAACTTGAATAAAAACCTAGAATTTCCATCGAAATCTTAGGATTTACATTGAAACGTTTAGAATAATCGAGACTCTGGCCGAAAACTTAAGTTTTCTTAAGCATCGCCTAAGGCGTAGGCCACGCCAGCGATGCATCGGCGACGTCGGCGGGGGGAACATCGGGCTCCCGCGCATGGAGTCGCACCGCCGATGCATCGGCAATGCTCCGCGGTCCTCCGACCCCATCTGCTCCGACCTCATCTGGGAGACACAGAGGGATGACCCCGAGGACTATAGGCCGCCCGAGCCTTCCAGACTGATTCTGGTCGGGGATACTCCGGCTTGTGCCCCCGGCGCGCGAATCCGGAGATACCCCCGACCACCCCCCAGCCCCGATGATTCGGGAGTGGTTGGGCCATGATCTGGAAGAACTCTGGTCTGGGGGAACTCTGGTTTGGGTCCCCGAGGCACGAATCAAGGGCTGACCCTTGACCACCCAAACCACCGATGATTTGGGGCTCTGAGGACGGGGATCCACTCCGCATCTACTCCAACCCCATCTGGGAGGCCTACTGAGATGACCGCTTACATGTGGGCTACACGTGCCCTGAGTAGTTTAGGCCCTGAGTAGTTTAGGGTGATTTGGGCTTCGGCCAGAGTTGTACCCCTAAACCACTCAGGGCACATGCAACCCTCTTACAAGCTAGGCTCGACCAAATGAAACCCCCACCCTTCCACCCGCTTCGAACATCCCAATCACCTAAGGAACCCCTGCGGTTGTCGCAGAAGAAGGCCTATATGGCCGCCCCCGAGTACAAACATCCCCTCCCTTCAGCCTGGAAGAAACGGGTCCTGAGGGGAACTGGTCCTGGGCCCGAGGACCTTCCCCCAGGACCAGCTTTTCGTCCTGAGTCGTTCTCTGCCAGCCCGGGAGTCGTGGAGGGCCCCGGGAGGTCAAACACTGCGAAAAACCTCAGGACTACTTCCTTCAGGACCCGCATCCCCCATGGCGATCCCCGCCAGACCTCTTCCAGGGTGCGTTCTGCGCAGAATGTCGACGCGCATCTAGCGGTGGCGACGAGGGCCTCCCAGGAGGCCCATAAAAGCGACAACGAAGGCAGGGTAGCGGCATGGGTACGGTGATGGCATCGGATAAGGAAACCTTCGATCATGAATCTAGGGTCGACGTGGAAGCCAGTGGGAGGCCCCTCGTGGAGTGGCCATGGATACCACCGCCGCCCTCATCCGATAAGGAG